ACACTTAGCACCCTTCAGCAACAGCTGGGATTCCATCACCTAGCATCAGTCACTGCTAATGCCAGTCTAAGGGGAATCTCATTTTTTGGGGTCAAGTAGTTGGATCTAATTGCCTTCCCAATTTTCTACAATGCCTTCAATAAAACATCACTCTAAAGGTGGAGGCAGCATTTGTGGTAAGACTCAACTGATGGCTGCAGAATTCTTCGAGTCTACATGGATGGGATTGGAGATAGGTAGAACTGGTGGAGGACAGAATGGGCTGGGCCAGGAAACAGACAGGCATAGTCATTTTTTTTATTTATTTCAAATCCTTTTACCTGGCTTTTCTACTTAAAAGGACCCACAGCCATGCCTCTAGAGATGACTGAGTGAGGGAAAGTAAAAGATTCTCCCCTCCCCAGGTATTTAGGAAGCAAAATGGAAGAGAATAACCATCTTAGTAAACTGTATAACACAATATAGATCTGTGAAGCCTGTTTCTGAGGATATTCTCATTTCACATGTTCACACTTATTTTCTACAAGTTCCATACTGATTTTGATTTTTTTTTAGTGGAAAGGAAGTTAGATATATCTTGTGAGCATTTTTCAAATAGACACATTAATGGACAAACACACACATACAGCAATGAAAGCATGTTTGAACATAATTCAGAAATATGTAAAGAGTTTTTTTGCACATTTTTCAAACATGGGTGCCAAATACATTTTCTTCCTCTCAAAGAATGCACTGGAAGACTGAAATCAAGCAGTCAAACTCAACAACCAACCAAAAAATTGCATCTGTTTCAGTATTCAATCCAAAAAGCATAAATCTCGTAAGAAATTTCAACCAAATAAATTTCACACACATCCTTAACAACATTGCTCCAGCACGGAGCAGCAATCTCCCATCACTTTCTTCTGTAAATGATGGTCACATAAAAACAGAACCACCAAGTAACCAATCTACACAGACAATACAGGAAAATAACATGATTGGTAGTATCAAAACTCACTAAAAGATTCAGGAGAATTAGCCAAGTCATGTTCTTCCTTCACAGGCCATCCAACAGAATGACCAAGATTGCTTCAGTTTCATATTATAATGGAACTTACATTGAAACTAATTGTCCCCAGGAGTGTCTACAACTTTGGTGTTGTTTACTTGCCTGCTAACTAAACCTTCCCGTGCTTCAAGTAAGAATTTGCAATCAATGTGTCCAATTGATAGATATGCCACAACTTTAGTTTTATCCAGCTGGAAGCCTTCTGAGTTCAAACCTTTTCATTATACTGCTGTCAAATGACCATATGGAAGCAGCAAGTGATGATAAATGATGATGTTCTTGTAGCTGGACGCCAATGCTATTAGAGAGGCTAAACATGTCAGTTCAGTTTAGACTTACATCTTGCATTAAACCCAAAAGCTTCCATTTGAGTTAGATTTTACTGCAAGCTAGCATTTTCTGAATCAACAGAGACATGGATGTACTGATGAAGAAAACTCAGAGGAAACCAGATTTCAAAGTGGCTCCATTTGAACTACAAATAAAAACTCACTCAGCTGTGTCATTATGATCCTTTAAAAACATATGTAATACAAAACCTACATTCTGAGTCTTAGACCCATACCAAACAGGCAGGGCCAATATGTTTGGAATATCCAGTATGGAACAGTGGATAGAATGATGGATGAGGGCACAGGAGGCCTGGGTTCAAATGCCCGATCAGCCATGGAAACTTTACCTGGTCAAAATGGTAAACTCCTTAAATATCCCATTTAACTTGAAAACTCTACTATGGTTGCTGTAAGATAGTCCAATTTGACAGCACGTAACACACACACACAAGCACAGGCAAATTACATTTTATAGACAAGTTTTCAATTAGGAAAAGACAGGAGAGGAGTTAACACCAAACAGACAATATAAATGTCATCTGCCTCAGCTATAGATAATTGTCAGGGATGCTAGGAGTTGTCTAGTACATCTGGAAACATTAAGGTTGAGAAGCTTCCAAGAAGTCCTCCCAATGCTTATCTTCTCCTGTTACATGGCATCTTCCACGACCAGCCTAGAAATAATCCTCAAATGCCTCGGTGGCCTTTTCTTCTTCCTTTTCCCACCTCTTCCCTTCTTCCCTCGCTTATCCCTCACAAATAATCTCACTTAATTGACTCCCTCTCTTTGCATTAGTAGAGCACTTTTCACCACAGGAATGAATGGTAGATAATCACATACATAGGTCACAGATCATACTGTCTAGTCTGACTGGCTGTAGCCCTCCACGGGTACAATTTTCATTAAAGATACTAAACATGAGATTCTCTGCATGTAAAGCAAACACTCTCCTCCTCAGCCAAGGTATGTCACAATTAACTTATGAGATAAAAGGAATGTACTACTCAGAACAAAGAGTAAGCCAGTTCTCTCTGCTCTAGGTAACCTTACCCATTAAGACAACTCCTTTCTGTATACTGGGTTTCCTGACCACATATATATAATATGCTTTTGTATATATAATTGATATATGCTTGATTGCTTCATCCAACAGAATGTGAAAATAAAAGGGAGAATTATAAAGACTTAATAATGCATACCATGTTTATCGTTCAGGCCATCTGGTTTTATAAAAGCTTGTTCTGCTCAACCTTTTTTATTATTAGTGTGATGAATGAACTATTGACTCACGCTTACACATCTCTGCAATACAACAGCAAACTGCTTATTTAACAATTAGTCAAGAAGTGTGGCATACTTAGGAAAATATCATTTATTTTTTTGCTTATCAGTTGGGCCAGCATGAGCTGGTTCTCAGGCTCCTGAGAATGAAATATTGTAGGTTAAGAGCTCCATTAATGTCTAGGTTTGATTTAATGCAGTTTGATTGCTTTACACACAGTACATGTGTTTACTTCCAGATTGTGTTAACGAGCAAGAAGTGATTCTTACTCCGCTGGCATTTTGAAAGAAAGAAAGAAAGAAAGAAAGAAAGAAAGAAAGAAAGAAAGAAAGAAAGAAAGAAAGAAAGAAAGAAAGAAAAGCTCCAGTTTTAAATCATTTTGCTATTTGAATATATTGCACTTTTTAAAAAAATGTGATATACAGTATTAAAGATTTTTAAAAGAGAGGGCAATGGATCAAAAATGATCAGTGAGGTAACATAATATAAGAAATTTAGATTTAGAAGGAGCACATTTTGGAAGCTACCTATTCTGTTACAAGCAATTTACAGCAGGATGATGTACAGTGCAGCGCTCCCCAACATTTTTGGGGCCATGGACCGGCTGGTCCCCAACATTTTTGGGGCCATGGACTGGCTGGGGGGAGCAAGCTGTGCAGGAGGGGCACCCCGCGCGAGTGCAGTGGGTGTGTCACACTCGCAGGGGGATGTGGTGCAGGGGGGCACCCCGCACGAGTGCGGTGGGTGTGTCACACTCGCAGGGGGATGTGTATGACACACCCCCTGCGTGAGCATGGCATGTCCACCGTTGGCTCGACGCCCCCCCCACGCAAGTGTGACATGCCCAATGCGCGTGCGTGTGGGGACAGAGATCCATATCTGTGGGCCAGTTCCGTCAAGCCCACAGACTGGCACGGGGCCACGGACCGGGCTTTGATGACCCCTGATGTACAGAACACCAAATTACACTGAATGTAATAGCAAGCCTTTGACAAAAGAATATCAAATGAAATTGGGTTAAGCCTACACATGTAATCAAAACTGAAGTTAACTTCAGAGTTTTCAAAACAAGAGCTTGTGGGAAGGTTGAGTGTTAAGTTGTAGGACAAGCCATCCATCTTCCAGAGGCATTATGGGAAGAGCAACCCTTAGTTGCTGTAGTTGTGTTTCTAAGATGGTGGTTATAGGCAGAGGTTCTGGGCCTCTAACTTCAAAAGTTTATTACTTTCTGAAGAAGTGGTTTCTGATATCAGTGGAGCTCTAGAGAAGTTCTTTTGAGACAGAACTAAAAGCTACCATTTAAAATCAAAGCTCAGCTTTCTGGAGTTTTACTTTGCCCTCCACAAGGAAAAGTGTTATCTGCATCATTTGCATAGAACCAAGATTAAAAGCACAATGCTCCAATGCGAGCTGAGAAGATGGACAGCACTTTGCTCCAGATGACAAAACAAAGTTCTTCATTCTTAGCATTATGTAGTTTCCAAGAGTATGGATGATGTGGGGGAGGGGAGAGAGATATCAAACACATCAAATTGGCTCCATTTATCCACATCCGGAATAATGCTCCCACACAGTACAACTAGGTACAACCACAACATAGAAAACTAGGGGATATGGGGAATTGTAGATTTTTTTAAAAAAAATTTTTTCCAAGCTCATAGCACTGCATGCTCTAGATTTCAAGAATGCCTTGTGTAAGCAGCCCCTTTTTCCTAAGTCCACATCCTCTTGTTCTGGGCTCAATGTCCTCCATGGCCAAGAAGAAAAGATCAAAGCAAGAGGATACTCTAACTGTTCTTTCAATTTATTTATTCATACCAATGAGTTAACTACATTTCTATTCTGCCTTTCCTTCAACGAGTATATGGCTCTCCTCTTCCCCATTGTATCCTAAGAACCCCGCATGAGAGATTGGGCTGAAAGACAGTGACTGGGCAAAAGTTAACCATCACATTTCATGGCTCAGTGGTGATTTGGACCTGGGTGTTGCTGGCTTAGTCCAGCATGCCAGCCATTACAGCATAACTGACCTCCTCCTTGCTTCTACTGGTTTCCAAAGACCCAGTTGAACAGGTAGCAGGAAAAATGAAAAGAAAAAAAAAGAACAGACCCAAGGGGTTTTAAGAGGGGGTTAGCAAGAGGTTTCTTGTATGGGACTCGGAAGGTGCCTGGCCTTGCCCACCCATGACGTTAGTCCTGGCCTGCCATGACCTACAGCATGACTGACCATCAGACCAAGGCATTTATCCCGCAGCAATGGTGATTTATTTAATAGCCTTTTTGAAAGAAAACTGGCCGGAACCAACATACACCAATGGAAAGAAAGAACCTTACCCACACAAGTAGTAAAAGATTTCTTTTCACTGTCCCACAATATCCCAGCATCCCAACAATGATAAGGAAACAGCAGACAGCAATCATGACTGGATGAACAACTGGGAAATACGTGGAAATAACAGCTTCTTCCACCCTGAGGGAAAATGTTAATTAGATTAGATTCATAAAATCGAATCCTGCTCCCCTCAAAACAACCGTCCCCAAATCATTTGTAGAATACAGTGGTTGTCTTGTTAAAGAATACAGCAGTGTTTCGTTATAGAGCAGTTGTGACACTGGAGTTCAGATTGAAATAGCCTAGCCTACCAGAAGAACTTTTAGCAACTACAAATTCCTCATTCATTAGCCTGCAATTAGTCCTGAAATATTAATCCATATTGCTGCATGCAGCCTTTTAAAATAACACATCGGTCAAGATACTGCAGTGAATGAATGAACAGAAGATGCCTGGAGCTAAAATAAGATCTGACAACAGGCAACATAACATTTGTTCCCAGAATAGGTCCTCCAGGGCTAAACTTAGAGAAGTTAAATTTCTGGATTACTATACCCAGTATTCCCTATGTAGGGACCATGTTGGCTTGAGGAAACTTTAAGCTGTACTCTAAGACAGTGGTCCCCAACCTTGGGCCTCCAGATGTTCTTGGACTTCAACTTCCAGAAATCCTGGCCAGCAGAGGTGGTGGTGAAGGCTTCTGGGAGTTGTAGTCCAAGAAAATCTGGAGGCCCTAGGTTGGGGACCACTGCTGTAAGAAATTATCCCTATCCATTCCAGCTGTGATCTCTCCATTTCCAAGATTCTTCTTTGTGCCACACATAAGAAAAACAGAATTTTCACACTCAGCGTGATCCTGTCAGGTTGCAACCAAAGGGAGGTACATAAAGCTTACAAGAACCTGACAAAGTTCATATAAGTATTTAAACAGGGTAAGGTGGGCAAAAAAAAGAGAGAGAAAATTCTGGTATTGATAGAGAAAGATTCAAATATATGGCACAACAGGAGCAAGAACATTTTTAAAATCAGCTAGCAATACAGGATGACAGACTGCCCCTTTCAAAGTGGCACCCAGTTTCATCTTACCCTGGCATGCAGCATCATGAATACCATTCAAAAAGAAGGGGTCAATATACAAATGAACCCACGCTGCCCACCACATCTCTTTATAAATCCATTTCCTAGATAAGGTAGCACAAAAGGGACATACTGCACTCGGAGGATGGATGACTAGGAGGATACTGGAAACAATGGCTGGCTATGTTTGTCTTTGAGCATCTGAACGTATACCTGGAATTAATGGGGCTATGTCTAGGAACACTGACTGCATGCAGCTGGGCAGGCAGTGTGAGGTAAACACTCTGGGTAGCAGTGGCAGTCTCCTTCTCATTCCTCCTGAACTCTCAGGACATGTTACTGTACTCGAAATTAGAACTGCACATATCACACAACCTGTCCTGTGCTCATTATCTTACAGCCAATAACACAGTCAGATTCAACAGTAAATCTAACAGGCTTCAACAGGTGGAGGGAAATGGGCAGTCTCTTGTCCTTTACCTTAGCAAACAAAATCTCTCAACTTGTAACTGGCTGTGATTGGCTTTTAACTTTATTTATTTATTTATTTAT